GTAGCTGATTCCAGAAAGAAGTTGTGCGAGGAAGAAAACCTGTAGTAAGTTGCACAGTGGTAGAATGTCAATCATCCAGATGGTATTTACGGTATCGCTAGTCTACGACGTTGAGTAGAAGTATCGGCGACCGCGGCACCAGATATCTCACACTTACAAAGCTGTTTTTCGTCGCTGATCTGTATTTTACACCTGTCATATATTATATAATATACAGCAATGTTACAAGAGACATTAGGATTTTATTACAACAAACATAAGACAAAATAGGGTAAGAGTCTTACGACTCTACCCAACTTCGAATTCGTCAATAATAGTAGTTTAAGAAAATCTACATGGCAGATACTTTCTGTAGTAAGTATTATCAACATCAACTTGCAAAATCTACATCGAACAATACTGGAATCGTTGGAAATATATGTGGTAGAGCCATGCTGCAGTTAGTAGTATAGTAGTAGCATGAATGGGTCGGCTCGACCGGGGAAGGACCACGCTTTCACAAAATACCAGCGTCAAATAGTAGCTTAATGCTGCTGTGTTTCGTATGGTTAGTGTAGAGAACCGGAGATCCTTTTTACTGGAAAACAGGCGTTCCATCTTAGTCTGCATTTTCATTTATAATCTAGGATAGATGTAGATGTCTATGGGCCGCAGCAACCACTTACCATCAGGTCCAGTGTGTGCTCGTTTGTCACACTATCCTATAAAAAACATATATAAAGAAGGTTCAAATTAAACAATCAAATTTTTGAAAATAATTTTAAACAGAACCCAACTTAATTTATACCATAGATTGATTCTTTATAAATATCGCATATCAATAAAACGAAAAAATAACTTATATACATACATATTAATCAAGTAATATAAAATATAATCTTTTTTATATAGGAGAGGCCAAACGAGCATGCGGCTCATCTTATAACGTATTCAGACTATATGTATAAAATAATAGTTATTTGCCTTATCAGCGTGCACAAAGGTCAATGATCTAAAATTAACGCTGTTTGAATCGAACTAACAATGACGTTAAACTTGAAATTAAGTTTCGAAGCTTAAAGCTTGCGTAGGCGCACAGCCGACACCTATCATTATTATTCGACGTAACATTATAATTCCTTTGTCAAAGCTTTCTTGACTCTGTTACTTTTAGAACATACTCTATAAAAAATAAAGTAAGGTAATTTTATCATTAATTCGTTAATACTTTGATGACAGTATAGACAAATGAATACCACTGTTATTGCGCTTAGGGGTTACGTAATCATAAATACAGCCTTTTTAATACAGTATATAATATATAATATTATAATATTTTTTACACTGCATGATATCACTGTTTCTAGAAAGCGGCGCCTGGAATATAAATCTCGAAAAAGCCTATTGCAACCTTGTAATTAACTGATAAAACTTTTTTAAAGAATAAAGATTACAAGCGAGCACACTGTCCTCCTGATGGTAAGTGGATGCTGTGGCTCATAGACATCTACATCTATCATGATTTCTTATATTTACGCGAACACTACACATTGAAATAATACTAGTTTTTACGGAATTTATCGCGTATATTTAACTTTTTAAATACCCGACGTTTCGAACGCTTTACAGCACTCATGGTCACGGGCGGGACTGAGATGTTCAACGTCCATATGTCATAGTTAACCGCGATTACCATAGATTAAAATTTAACTTTTGTTCCGATCTATACAGTATGAACTTATGGTATCTTGAAGTCTTGCAGCTCATATACACAACATATAGCTGATGTGAAGAATCGACGCTCCGGGAAGTCTGCAGTCTGTGAACACGTACAGGATCGCCCCCGTCACTACATCAGATTTGATAGACCGCAAATCCTCGCTAAAGAACACCGATTCCTTCCAAGGATGATTCGCGAAGCTATTGAAATCAAAAAACATCCTAATTTCAATAGAGAAGATGGCTGGGTGCTACCATCTGCTTGGGATCCGATAATAAATAAAATTAAATCCCAACCCAAGCATACAACTGCAAGACTTCAAGATACCATAAGTTCATACTGTATAGATCGGAACAAAAGTTAAATTATAATCTATGGTAACCGCGGTTAACTATGACATATGGACGTTGAACATCTCAGTCCCGCCCGTGACCATGAGTGCTGTAAAGCGTTCGAAACGTCGGGTATTTCAAAAGTTAAATATACGAGATAAATTCCGTAAAAACTAGTATTATTTCAATATACATCTATCCTCAATTACGAATCAAGGATGGAATGCCTCGTATCCAGTAAAAAGGATCTCCGGTTCTCTACACTCGCCATACGATACATACAAGTATTAAGCTGCTATTTCACGCTGGTATTCAGTGAGCACGTGGTCCTATCCCGATCGAGCCGACCCATTCGTGATACAACTATAATATAGCTGCAGAATGGCTCTACCACGTAGCGTAGCTCTTGCACATAAAGAAAAATTCATCTAAGAAGGCTGATAGTATCTGAGGCTTGTGATGTAGGGAAGCAACTAGTAACAAGTGCGAGGGTATTAGTTTTACGCTCACTATCCTACCAGTCCAATTTAGTGAACATAGGCAAATCTTTTTGAAGTAATGCGTGCATACATGCAAATTATGTACCTCCAGTATATTATTTTAAAGTTAAGTTGAATACGTTATTTTCTGTATTCGTGGGATGCCTTCTTCTTCATTACCATAACCTAGTAAAATTCCACTACTATATGTATGTTTCTTCCATTTTAAGTGAGGGAAAAAGAAGGTTTTGTTAATCGCTATGATTAGCAGGCGGATTAGCAATTGGAATACCAGATATCACGCACCTTTGACACTGCTCTTCATTGACGATCATAGTAATTTACGTTTGGCATAAGCGAGATGGTTTTACCGCCATTTATCGGAAGCTGTGAGATTTTTTAGCCTTTTCGTTGCCACCTCTTACGTCATCCACGGGACGATATAGGTTGATGATTTTTTACGGCATCACCACTACATGTAACATATGATTAGGTATTACAGGTATGTTACAGATAGAGAAAGTTCGTCATTCCTTCACATCTCGTCGGTAAAGCGACTACTTAATTGACCAAACTGTAAGTGTCATCCTCTTTATATAAAACCATGCACCGGTGCTTAACTATTAGCCAGATATGTTATTTTATAATTATTAACAACTTTTGACCATTTGGCAAACAAAATACGTGAAAAAAACGTAGAAAAAAATAAGAAAAAACGATCTATAACTATATTTATAGAGAATATGTAAAGGACCGATCAAGAATTTTTAAATTTACATTTCATAAATAATTAAACTAAAATTTTGATGGTCAGCTAAATAACAAAATAAATCTAATACCACACTATTGGTAACGATACTACCTTACTAGATTATCCAAAAATGGTCTAGCAAGGTAAAAACATAGCAGTAAAGGTAATCCTTTTGAAAGGTCGTTACTTTGATTAAGTTGAAAATAAATAGATTTTTTATTCAACTTACATTGTAGATAATATTATTTGAGATCCAATCAAAAATTTACTATTAAGTTGAAAATAAATAGATTTTTTATTCAACTTACATTGTAGATAATATTATTTGAAAGTTATTCCTATGTTTAATTTATTACTGTTTCGGAAAATACCTCTATTCAGGAAAGAACCAACAGGGAACCAATGGATTTTTTTAAAAGAACTGTTTACAATCTTGTATAATGTAAGACAGTTACACTACCACTTCATTCTAGCGAGTTATTGTCATCCATAAATTCCTTAATATTACAATAACCCTTTTTATACTTATATCTTCTTTTGAAAAATTAATCTGTGTAAAAATTTTTATTCTTGTTTTATTTAGGGATTTTTGTTTGTTAACATGTCAATCCCATTAAAGCTAACTTAAAATCTATACATTTGTTATTAATCTGCACATACCTAATGCAATATCCTAGGTGGGGGCATGTAGGATGCCCTGCGCAATACCTATATTGTACACATTTATATTATATGTCCTTACAAATAATACCCTTGCCCCTCCTTTGTTAAATAATTCTTTCGAACTTGGCAGTGAACAAATGAATCGTAAGAAAAGAACGTATATATTATAAGAACGTATATGTCAAGTATGTAAGCTGTGTAATTCCGGCTTAAGATAATCCACTATCCGATATCATCCCGTGGGTGTCGTAAGACGCGATAGAAGAGAACTGGAATAGGAAATGGACAGCAACATTTTCTTTTTTGGTAATAAATCAAAAATAATAATAGAAACTACGGTTATCAACGCGCCTGCCAATCGTGCCAATCAGCCTGACTAACTGATGAAGCCTCCTCCTCCCTCCACATAACTGCCTACTGGGATATGTGGGATAATTATTCAGGATAGCCTATAAATCAGATTTATAGGATGTCGATCTCGTTATTATATTTGTAAATTGCATATATTTTTAGAGAAATAACTGTTAGAAAAAATTATATAAATGATCCTGGATGTCTTGTTAGAATATGACATTAATAATGCCTATTCCTATAGTGTTCCGTTTCGTAGAGAAGTATATAGAGAAATTTTGTTAGAATGTAGTATCAAATACAGCATTCGTAAATTTTATTCATCTGACGATAAACAATTTCACTTTATCTATGCATAAGCCATAAAATATCTTGGAAACAAATTATGTCAATATTTTATCATAAAACAACGCTTAATATGAATTGAACGCCGAAGTGCGTCACTGAATAAATATCGAAGTTATTTACATACATGTTATGTCATTGCTAACCTTATACGTTGAGACATTGAAGTTAGTGGTCCGGAATATACACGAAAATAATTGAGTTAATATGTTTACTTAAAAACGTACCTAACAAATTAGTCAATTGGTGTAAAAGTATTAACAATAATTACAATATCATTGTACTGTAATCAAAGAAACACATAATATGTAACATGATGTCTTAACTGAAACATAAATATAAAATAAAATAAAAGTATTTTATATAAACATGCATCTTACCTCTTGTAAGACAAAAATTCCTTCGTAACGGATGAATGAAGTATTGTTTACATAAATATTCAGACACTGAAACGCAGTAAAGATGAACACAAAACACAAAAACTTTTAACACGCGTAATTTAAAATTACGTTTGTTAACGGCACTGCACAGTAACCCGTAACTATTGTTTGTAACTCACTTTACGCAGACTTTTCATTCAGAAAAGTTTGTAAAACGGAGCGGAAAATTGTAGTCTATGATCGATGGAAGACAGGCGGTCGCGAGAGGGACAGAGAGAATAAGATATGATATAGGCGCGGAAATACCGGCGTGTATTGCGCAGGAGTGGGGGTCAGAGGACCGGCGCGTGAACTGCGTGGACGCAACCTTAGCATTAAATATTTATTTTATTCGCAACGAAGTCAAATCAAAAAAGAGTTGGCCCAAAATGTATCTACTTTAGCCGGTTTTAATACGACCCAATCCAGTTCTCAATTCTAATACAGGTTTCGCGTTATTGTATTTTTTGTAAAATCGAGATTCGACGCTGGGAAAAGGGTTCGTTATGTTTAAATAAATATTCGCATATAAATGTGTTCGATAACATCATAACAGAATAACATCTAATTTTTTTTTACCACAAGGCACGGTCTTGTCTTGGCTTGACATTTTTGAAAGAATAATGGAGCAATTAATAAATAAAAACAGCAGAAAATAATACATTTTACTCCTCTCTAAAGAGATATTAAATATTCTTTACTTTTTTCTTTACACAATAATACTTTAATTTTAAATTGGCAATTCAAGGAGGAATATCACTAGACGGACCTCAGGTTGGTAGAAAATATAAAACAAGAGTCTTGTTACTTCTGGCCTAATATTATTTATTTCTGTAGTACATTACTTATGTAGCTCGTGAACACTTGTTACAAAATTGAAATTCGGAAGGCGACTAATGAATAGAGATCACTGCCTCACCTACAACGTATGGTATACTGGTACTGGGTTTCTTACCCGAACTGCAATTCAACATAGGTTGAATTGCAGTTCGGGTTTACAGACAGACAGAGGCTGAAACCTTCCCAGATGCAGCATATATTACAACTGTCGTTACAGTCTATTAAAAGTCAACAGCTGAACATAGGCCTACTCCATAGATTGGTTCGTCATATGAGAGATATTTTCCATAGTGATCACGCTTGGTAACGGCAGTTTATTATATTTTTTAGTTGTCGTTAGGAAGACGCTGCTGCTAATCTCCTGATTTCTTTATAGGATAGGGTGACAAACGAGCACACACTCCACCTGATGGTAAGTGGATGCTGTGGCCCATGGACATCTACATTTATACTCGATTAAAAATCAAAACGCAGATGCATGCTCCTGAGGACAGATGGAATGCCTCGTTTCCAGTAAAAAAGGGTCTCCGGTTCTCTACAATCACCATACGAAACACAGCAGTATTAAGCTGCTATTTTACGCTGGTATTCTGTGTGAGCGTGGTCCTTCCCCGGTCGACCCGACCCATTCGTGCTACAACCATTATATAGCTGCGTCGTCGTTGTTGTCCTCTGCAGGGCATAAATGCCGTGCAGGTCTCGGGCCTCGGGGTGTACCCCTTTACCCGGATGTTCCTCACGGCACACTACAATGTGCCGGTCCTGGGCGCCTCGATGTTAGAGGCGTTGCTTATAGCGACTATTGTCGCAGTCGGTAAATTTGTAGTAAAAGATGGTTATCTAAAAATTGTGTTTAAATAACACAATTTGTCAAAGTTGGCCTTTCTGCGGCATTGAGGGATTTACTCGGACTCCCTAATCTATATAGGGAGGAGTTCTCTTGGATAAGGTCGCCCGTCCGGCGGCCTTGCATGCAACGGCGCGAAGCCGTTGAGGTGTTCATGTGGTCCGTTGTCGGCGCGGTCAAACATACCGCGCGCCAGCCGGACCACGAAATCATGTAGGCTCTCCATCTTGAGGTTGGCCGCTATGACGTCATTACGGACGTAGCGACCCGCTCCGACTATGGTTCGTAATGACAAACTCTGCTGGGCCTGAAGTCGCCGCTTCTGATGATCGCTCAGGAGTGCATACCAGGCCGGAGCAGCGTATGTTAGCAGGGGTCTTATATATGTTTTGTAAATAGTTAACTTCGACTTTGTCGGTAACTTGGATGTCAGGACAGGGCGGAGCATTGCCCGCGCACATCGAGCTTTGCGTATAGCAGAGTCGACGTGCGCAGTCATACGCAGCATCCTGTCAATCCGACATCCAAGGTAGGTCACGGCCTTCTCATATGCGATCTCCTGGCCTCCGAGGGTTAGCGGTGGTGGTAGATTTCTATAGCGGCGAGTGAGTAGAGCGGTCGTCTTGCTAACATTGACGGCCATCCTCCACTCACCCAACCATGGTGGCAGCAGGTCCAACAGACGTTGCATCCTGGCAGCTGCTATGTGGGCTCTTCTGGACGACGTGAAGTATGCGCTGTCATCCGCAAACAGTGCTAGTTCGACGTCGTCCTCCCATTCTTGCAAGTGTCCTGCCAGGGTGGGTATGTCATTGGTGTACGCCGCGTACAGGGCTGGAGATAGACAGCTGCCCTGTGGCACACCAGCTGCTATGGTCTTGATTGCGGACTCGGCGTCCTCTACGCAGACGTAGAACTTCCTGGCTTCCAGGAAAGACGCCACTAGCCGCAATATAGCAGGAGGGATACTTGTTTGCACATCTAATTTATAGAGTAATCCTATGTGCCACACCCGGTCGAACGCTTTCTCGATATCAAGAAAGACGCCCAACGATATGCGGCCTCGGTTGTGTTCGGCCGCAAGCAGGTGCAGCACTCTAGTCAGCTGTGTTGCTGTTGAGTGTCCCCTCCTGAATCCATGTTGCTCCGCCCGAAGTTGGATGCACGGGCGGAGACGTCTTAACAGTAATCTTTCGCACAGTTTAGCTATATGCGGTAGCAGCGTGATCGGCCTATAATTGGCAGCTCTACGCCTGTCCTTCCCGGGTTTCGGCAAGACGATGACTTTGCCTTTCTTCCAGTCCTCCGGGAAGTGGGATGTCCGCAATATTCCATTGTAGAGCCGACCTATCTCTACAAGGACTCTATTGGGCAGCTGTCGTAGTGCAGCATTAGTAATCCCGTCGTGCCCCGGCGCCTTCCTCGGTTGCAGGCGGGTTACTGTCCTCCGCAATTCAGCGGGGGGAGATAAACCACTCTCCTGCAAGCGGTGGCGCGGGCGACGACAGGAGCTCCTGCACGCGGCTTTCTTTCCGTAAATGGGATTCCAGGAACTCCGCACTCGTAGGGTTCGGCATAAACTGCTCCTCGAAGTGCTCAGCTAGGATATCCGCTCTGCCCTTGGCATCGTAACATTGAATGCCCGCGTTGTTGGTCAGCGGGCAAACAGGTGGTCGAGTTTTCGTTAACTGCCGGTTCAATGTGTAGAGCGACGCGTGCTGTTCATCAGCTTTCCATATGCGCCGCTCCCAGGCCTCTCCTCTGTGGGCCTGTATTGCAACCGACAGTTCGTCTGACAAGGTGTTCAATTTTCTCTTTACTCTAGGGCAGCGGGTACGCGCCCAGAGCTTCCTCAGCGCTCTTTTATGATTTAGCTGCACGCGTATCTTTAGCGGCAGCTCCTCCTTCCTTCCCGAGAGAGGGACGATCGTAGAGGCCGCGTTGAGGGCCTCCTTGATGCTCGTGGAAATTCTGGTTGCAGCGGCCTCTACGTCGTCCGCTGAGGTGATCGGTGTATGGACTGGAGGTCTCTCCTGCAGGTGTTGGTGGTAGAGCCTCCAGTCGATCTTGGTCTTACTGGCTCTGGGCGGTGAGGTCACTGCCTTAGTGCCAAGGGTTATCAGAATCGGGAGGTGCTGTGTATTCAGGTCATACAGCACTTCTACCACTACTGGATAGTTGACGTTCCTAGTGAGCACGATGTCTAATACATCCGGACGCTTCCTATGGTCGCTAGGAATATGCGTCGGTTCCTCGGGACCTAGAACGTCATAGTCGTGGTGTTCAGCGTCTTCGTATAGTTCACGACCCGGCGGGGTGATCATTCTGGACCCCCACGCCGGGTGTTTGGCGTTCAGGTCCCCGGCGATGATGGTGGGTGTTGTGCCTTCCATTACCGTCCGGATGTCTGAGGAGTGAAATGGAGTCCCTGGCGGGCGGTATGCTGCAAAGATCCTAAGTTCCTCGCCCGCCGCCTCCATTTTTATGCCGATGGAACGCATCGTCTGGAAGTCTGGCAGTTCCAGCTCCTGGTGGACGATGTCTCTCCTCACCAGGATCGCTGTCCCTCTATAAGCGACCCCTTGAGGATCGACCTCGTCCCTCCTGTATATATGGTAGTTAGGCAGCTTAAGATGCGTTGATGGTCTTAATTTAGTTTCACCCAGCAAGATCACCTGGATGTCCTGTTGCTGGGTGAGAGTGCGGAGTTCATGGATCCTTTGACGGATCCCGTCCGGGTTCCAATATAACAGGCGCAGGTTGCTATCCTCCATAGTGCCTTGCCAGTAAGGATGCCAGCGCCTTCATGACGGCGGTAACGGGATCCGTCCCGGCCCTTATGTCGGCCAGGACTTGTGTGCCGACTTCGATGGCTATGCCTACCAATCTATGGATGGCATCAGCCGTCTCGAAGCCGGACGCTGGTGGTCTGCGGTCTGAACTCCGCTGTGAAGGCACTGGTCTCGGGGCATTAGTGGTAATTCTCCTTTGCATTGAGCGCGCTCTGTGCATAGAGCGAGCTCTGCTTTCTGGCAGGGCCCTTTCAGGTGCTTTACCTGCCGTAGGTGGTGCTGGTGTTCTTGTAGCAACCTGCGCCTGGGAGGCTATTGGTCCTGCAGTCATAGGGGTAGAGGTGGTTGCAGCCTGAGGAGGTGGCTGCTCCGTTCTCTTGCTCCTGTTCCTCCGCCTCTTCCTCCTGGAGGGTTGCCTCTCAGTGGCGTCGTTGGCAGGAGGTCGGAGAGTCGCCCCGGTGGTTGCCCTTTCATCTGTGGGACCAACCGTTTCTGATGGTACTGCAGGAGGGGGGTGGGGGGGGCTGATTGCCTACCCTTTCCTCTAG